TTTTCTACCTGGATTATTGAGCATGCATCAGGATATAAATCTTTCTTGTTTTTATGAATAATTTATTATAATAGGACCAGGCTGCTGTAGATGTATTTTTCACTTATGGCACCTTGTTTTTGTATTTATGTTGCATGCATTGGTGTTTCTTCTTGTTGTTGTTTTGGGGTGAATCGAGATGGTTCTTCTCGTTCTCAGCATTTCATTTTATTGTTGACCTTATGTTGATCTGCAAATGACGATAAACCTAAACCCATAACTGAAACCAAACGAATCACTAAAAATGTTGACAAAACAGATAGAATTATTCACAAATGGGAGCTTTTTAACTACTTGTGTGAGTGATGGTTGTCAAAATCCAGAAATGTTTTCAACCTACTGAGCACCACCAGGAATCGAACTCTCAACCTCTAGAACTAGACTGTTTAAACCTGAGCCGTTCAACTGGACACCTAATTTATGCTTCTTCTTCTTTTTTTTTTTTTTTAAACGACAGATAATTTCAAGGTTTTTTTCTTCTTCCACATTTAAACACTAATCTTAAACGGATAAGTGTTAATTGTTATTTAACCATTATATTTTTTTCTTCCAGGTTGTGGCGGCCATCTTGAATCTGCTTGATTCCAAAAGGCAAACAGTTCTGAAAATACATCCAATGATTACTTTGAGTGTTTCATTAAACACCATCCAGTGGTTCATGACATATTTTGCTGACAGACAGGCAAAATTACATGATGGCCTGCCTTCTTTGTTAGGGATCAATACCACCACCACCCCCCCACCCCCCCAACACACCAGTACAAGACAGTTGAAATGTTTATTTTGTTTCATTTTGACAAAACAGAAAAGTCAATATTTGCAGGTTTATTAAGATTTATGAGGCCAAATGAGTGAAATAATCAAACACATTTTATAATGAGGTAAATGTAACGACATACTTATACTTCTTTCCCTGAGCATGCCTTTAATATAAGCCACTATCCATGCACTTACATTCACGTATTGGTCAGATGTCCAAGTATTTTCAACAACAACAAAAAAGGTTAAATATCTCTAAAGGCCTGTTTTTATTACAATCTGCTTCACATTTAAATGTTACTTTTTCAGAAAGTCTAAAGTAAATGTACCTAAATGATTTTGTTATTGCAAATGTTTTGTGGATGTCTGTTGTCCTGGGGCTTTCTAAAATGTGCCACAAAATAAATAAATGAATAAATAAATTAATAAATAAATCTTTCATTGGATAAAAAAATCTGGATGAATGTCAAATTTTAGGTAGCATCTAGCAATACACAATATCAAATATCCAGTATGGTAAGTACCAGGTACTTACTGGGACCATAACCGGGATTTTTGGTACAAACCAAGTAAATTCGCTATAAGTATGTACATTTACTATACGTGTAAGAATGAGATACTTAGAAAGTAAGTAAAAATAAGTATGCCCTACTAGGTGCATACTAAATTAATTGAAAGTAAGTTTCAGATACTTACCCAGTACATGCCCTTTAAGTATCAGATACCTAAGTAAAACACCCAGTAAATACCCAGTGAGTACCATATAAACCAGAAAGTACCCAGTGAGTACTAGGTGCCTGCCCAGGAAATACCCAGTGAGTACCAGGTAAAATCTCATTAAGTACCCAGTGAGTACTAGGTATCTACCCAGTAAATACCCTTTAAATTTCCAGGTAACCTACCCAGTAAATACCCAGTAAGTACCAGGTAAAAACCCAGTGAGTACTAGGTACCTATCCACTAAGTACCATGAAAGTACTAGGTACATACGCGGTACGTACCTAGTAAGTACCAGGTAAGTAACCTCAAAGTTTCAGGCTGTATTGTGTATTGTGACCATTCTTTATTCTCAGATTCTGTTTCTTTTAGGCTGATTAGGAGTTTAGAATTCATGCAAAATAAAAAAAAATAAAAACACAAAAAAAAATCCTCACATAACTCATAAATCCTAAATAGATCGCACCTGTAGTACTGTTCCTACAGTGTAGAGAACACCTGACTGGCTGGTCAGTGTCTCGCTCACCATAAATAAGCACGATCCAAAAACACTTGAGGCATAAACCTGGCACAGTTTGGGATCTGGATCAAATCTCTAAAGCCTCACATTGTTGAATTGTTAGGATTGTCAACTGTAAAGGATTATTGTGAAGAGATGAACCTCAAAAGATGAAGGAAAATAAACTGGATGAATCAAAATATTTTACTGAATCAGTTAAATTTCCATCTGTTTTAGCTTTTTTTCCTCCAACATTATTATAGACACAAGCTCTGCTTTAAAGAGTAAACCATACGGCCTCGATCAATCCAGAGTAAACAGATCACTTAACTAAGACGGTATTCATCCGTCGTGAAGTAAAACTCGGCTAACGTTTAGTACCAAGATCGAAGAATATGAGAAGTTACAGAAAACAGATCATGAAAGTTTCTGCTGAGAGAAAACGAACAATGTTCGTCCCATCAGTATTTACACTACGTTTCTCTGATTGATGATCTGTTATGAAGGCCTACCATTGGTGCTCCCAAACAAGGGGGCGGGGCTTGTGGTCCAGGTGAATCCGTGGCGGTCATGCGGAACACTTCATTACAGTCTGGAAGCGAGATGTTTTAACGAAGCCGATTTCTTTGTTGTATTTATTATTCATCCATCTTACGATATACTAGATATGATTTAGTTGTGCCACACATCAAAGGGTTTCTTCAAAAACATTCTAGTTAAAGTTGCCAAGTAACAAATCGTACCTAACCAATTAAAAAAACAAAGCATTCTCTGAATAAATGCATATCGCCCACTTCCTTTAAAGCCAGAGTTTTAGACGAAGATCATCTTATGTTCAATAATGGCCAATCAGGTCATCTGGACAGTTTCTTTTTTGTGGAAAGACGTTTCGATGAAGTCCTTCGGATAGAGGGCGAAACGTCTTTCCACAAAAAAGAAACTGTCCAGATGACCTGATTGCCCATTATTGGATTTTGTACCTGGATGATTGCGCATGAACTTTTATGTCTTGAACCACTTTGGCTGTCTGCCTGGGAGGATTTGACGGGGGACAGGACAGCCCCCAGAAACCGTCTCGTCACCAGCAAACTGGTTAGTCGACTAAAAGAGTGTACTGCTTGGTGGGGAAACAGTTTATTTGTGACTCCTCAGACTGATGAAGCCCTCTGGATAGAGGGCGAAACCTCTTTCCACAAAAAAGAAACTGTCCAGATGACCTGATTGACCATTATTGGATTTTGTACCTGGATGATTGAGCATGAACTGTGAGACGCAACATGACAAATGTGTGCAATGAGTTGTAGCTACAGTACACCAAATCTTAGCTCAATTTCTGTAAATTAGACTGGGTTGTAGCCATTTCTAGGGTTAGTTAGATGTGGTGGCCACACACACACACACACACACACACCATAATCACCTGCCTTTTGGCTTCAGTAATCAGTCGACCAATCAATATGTCGACCTATACCATTGAATTGTAAGCGGTTTTCTGTGTCATGAAAGAGAATGTTCTGGACCACGTGTTGAGATAAATGTACTGGTGGGCTTCTTGTCGGGGTTTCAGTTGTTGTGGGTGGAGGTGCCTCCGCCTCTGATGGTGGGGGAAGACAGTGGGTGGTGGCCCGGTCTGATCGGCTTCGCTGAAACGCAGACAAAAAAAAAAAAAAGAAACAACAAAAAAGTTGTTTTATGACTGAAGAGTTTTTCAGATAGAGTTTATACAACACTGGACGTAATGCTGATAAATATATATACTGTAGATTATCAGGTCTTTGTTCACAGGTGAGTTCCCCGAGCAGCTCCGAGTCCTTTCTTCTTGGGAGGGTTTCTATAGGATTCCAGAAGGTTTGTGGGATTTTCATGGTCAAGGTCAGTGAAGTTCTTCCATAGGGGCCTCATTACACCGAGTCTTTAGTCTTTGCTTTGTTCATCATAGTGTCTTTAAACCCAAATATAGATTAATGCTAATCTTTAAAACCAAATGTTCTACACTTAAATAGAGATGCATGGAGTTGGTTCGACCTGAAAGAAGTTTTTCCAGGCCGATTTGTTGCAAAGGACACTCTGAATATTTTATTTTTGATAAGAAGTTAATTGCACATATGGGCCTGTCACAGTAAACAATAAATCAATTAATCGCATGATGAATGAAAATCATCGATCTCGTTTTCATTTATCGGCTTTATCATGTCTCTCTCTTTTTCTACTGAAGACACTGGATGACAAAAGGCTCAACTCCGGTGCTCTTCACTGACCCCTCCCTTTCTATTTTCTCTTGAAAATCTGTTCTAACCGTACAAAATCGCGTTTTTGGATCATTGACAGCAGCTAATCTGAGAAGCTAAGCTACGAGTTAAGCTAACAGGCTGACCTCGGGGAAAAAAAACCCTCCGTCTTGTCAAAGCTCCAAAAATTCACGGCTGAAACCCGTGCCTTCATCTAAAAAGTTGTTTTTCTCAGCAAAAAGAAGCTGAGAACTTGTTTATTGATTTTTACTAAAAGCTTTGTGTGAAAAATGCTACGCTAAAGCACTCAAACCACTCCGAGCATCCGCCATTTTGAGAACCCAAAAACGGGACGAGAGATAGCCCACGTCACGTCAAGGGGTCTCCCTCCCATTTTCTTAAAGAGACGCACTGCTCGATCCCGCACCATCCCACTTTCAGTTCCAACAGTCTTATACTGCCATCCGGTGGTCAAAAAATGTACTACACAAAGAAATTAACAAACATTTCTTCTTAAATTTGACAATAAAATTTCAAACAATATTATCGTTTATCGCAATGATTTCTGGGACAATTAATCGCCCAGCAAAAGTTATCGTGACAGGCCTATGCACATACCACTTGATCAGCCAGAAAGGTCTCAAACACAGTGATGATCTCTTGGCTCATTAAAAAAAACTAACTAATGGTAAATGGACTGCACTTATATAATGCCTTTCGATCTTATCGAGATAATCAAAGCTCTTTACAATCTGTGTCCTCATTTACCCGTTCACACAGCACTCTACTATATCTGTACAAAGAATAATCAGTGCTTTATCACATTCATACACTAACGGGACACACATCAAAGGCAGTGAGAGGTTCAGTGTCTTGCCCAGGGACATTTCAGCATTTGACTGCTGGTGGAATCGAACCCCCAACTCTTGCATTGGAGGATGACTACTCCAACCACTCAGGCTGTGACAATATTTTGAGTAAATGTGCATTCCAGTGAAGAAAGAATAACAGTGTGATCAATTTTGTGGCCCCAAGTGTAACACACTACAAATGCACTCCAGGGTTGTGTAAAATAATATAAAAACACACAACTACAAAAAATAATTTGACTTTACTCTAGACATTGAACGATACTCGAGACAGAATATTTAGATGTCACCTAATAGTTTAAAGATCAAGTTTTCTTGTAGTTTTTCCTCGCTTTTTAAAAAAAATATTCATATATAGTCTGGATTAAGAGAACATGAGAAAAAAAAACTTGAGGCGCATTTTGTTCCAAAAGGCTTTGGAATTAAAGATTTTCAAGATTCATTGATAAAACGTTCTTTTAGTTTAAAGGTTTAGAGACTTGCAGTGTGTAAAAAAAAAAAAGTAAATACAGAAGTCCCGTGCTACTTCGCCGTTCGACTTTTGCGGACTCGCTCTTTCGCGGTTTTTCAAAGTAAGATTGTACACGAGAAAAAAATTTGTACACGACACATGATTGTCAACTTTAATAGTACTAGTGATTGGGACAGTACGGGATACTATACAGTAAAAAGTTAACAAAAAAATAAAATACTTCGGACAAGCGCTGCCATTTTGTAGTTTTCTCTCAATAAGCCTATACTGTATTCCCACTCATGATGACTACATTTCCCAGAAGCCAACAGTGCCCCGCCCAGAAGCCCCGTTGCCTTCTGTTGAAATACACAGAGGGAAATTTTTAGATCTGATCCGAAAAAGATGTGGTCCTCATTCATACAGTGACTTCAGCGCCCAGCAGATGCAGAGAGCCGCATGGAACCCACCGGGAACTGGACCAGAACCGGACTTCCAGACTCATCGTGAATCTGAGTGCCGCCTGCCAGCTCACGAGGCCTTTCGAGCATGGAGGTGCCGCCAGCGGTCCAGCGTTCTCTCTGGATCCCACAGGGACTTCCCCTATCCAGATTTGGACTCAATCGGACCATCGTCTGGTCTAGTGCAAGCCATCCGAAGTTCCGGCATTCTCTCCAGAGCCCACTGGGACTACCCGAGACAGAGAGACAACCAGATCGGGCAGGGTAGGTCTACTGAAATGGAACAGAGTTGGACTGGAACCGAGCTGCTGTTCTGCAGAGCTGATGAGCAAAATTTAGTAGCTACATACACAGTACTGTATGTATGTGGTTAAAATGACAGATTTAAGAGTTTAGAACACTGCAAGAGTGTGGGAAGGGTTACTAAAGCCTTAAAATATATATAAATACTAAAGTAAATGTCATGTCTTTACTTCGTGGATTTTCACTTATTGCGGGGGCGTCTGGAACGTAGCCCCCGCAATAAACGAGGGACTACTGTAAACGTATGAAGTTTAATTTAAATATGCTGCAACAACTGATCTGGCCATTAGAGGGAGCACACACAAGAGGACAATGCCAACAGTATCTTTGTTTATTTTGTATCATTTTTGTGTGTTTTCTCAATAATTTTTCACCTTTGGGAAACGTCAGCCTCCTTTGTTATTAGTTGTCAAACAATAAGTCCGAACTGTGAGTGAATAAAGCAAAGGGGATCTCACCGATCTGGGCGAAGTAGCCCCTGCGGGCCATGTTCTTGGCTCGGACGGCCTCTTTGATGCGGTCCACCTCCTGCTGGTAGCGTTTGCGGTCCCTCATGGCGTTCTCCTTGGCCTCCTTCAGGGCGTTCTCCAGAGCTTTGACTCGCTCGGCCGTGGCTCGAAGACGTTTCTCCAGTTTTGGCAGCTCGCAGCGAAGGTCTGCGTTGTCTCGCACCAGCTGAGAGACGCAACAGACTTCATGTCATTTTTTTACTTTGACTCGACAACTTATCACAGCTAAGTGTTGCAGATTTTACTTCACTCCAGCGTCTGTAATGAGAACCCATTCCCTGATAAATTGTATATA